TCTCTTGCCTTCACCATGTTTGTAACCACACCAGTAAATGTCTAGAAGGAGCTGAGTATCACAGTCATTTTAAAGCTGCCTAATTGGTGCTTATTATGCTTGATTGCTGCTCGGTGACATCCACAGGTGTTTTCAATACCTGATGGAAAGCACCTGTATGAACCTCTGTTCTTCAGAGTGGTAGTCTTTAAGGGGTTGAATAATTGTGGCAATGAAGAAACCACATAAGAACCATTTACTACTGTATTACATAAACAATTGATGTCATTTTAGTTGCATTTGGGTAGTTACAACGTCCTTGTAGGATTTGATTCTGAATACAATTCCAAATGTACACTATAGTCCCTAAACCCCTTTACAGCATTGGGGGTTGAATAATTTTGGTCACAACTGTATACTTCCCAGTTTGCCTCCCTCAGCAGCTAGCGAGGCCAAACCCGATAAGGCAGAGAAAGCTCGGTAAGTGTTCTGAAGCCAGATGAGAGGCTCTTTACTGTCAGAACTGCCATATGGCCAGCTAGCCAAATAGCATGTGGCTTTTCCAACAGGCCCAGCTATTCTAGGAAGCCTTCTGTGATTTATACCAGAGTACTCCTGTTCTAATGGGGTAGGTCTTTTTCCTTTAACCTTGGATCCCTCCAGCTTTTCACCTGCATTAGCAGAGCAGCCCTGTACTTTACTGCAAGTGGTCTTGATTATGAGGATAATTGCAAACAGCTGTTTGTGTTGTTATTATTATTACTATTATTATTATACATGATTTATATAGCGCCAATAGTTTGCTCAGCGCTTTACAATATAACGGGAGACAATACAGCAACAATACAGTTCAATACAAGAGGAATAGGAGGGCCCTGCTCCTTGGAGCTTACAATCTAGGAGATGTTATGAATTGTTTTGTTCCTTACTTTGCATCTGTTTAGTAAGTTGCAAGTTAGTTACTCTCTGTCGACCAACTAACTATTCTGTTAACCTACTATGTAGAAAATTTAATTTAGCCAGGGTTACAAGCCTAATAATTACCTTTTTTTTCTTTTAATTAGCGATCATGAAATTGCTAAGCTTCTATGTTCTGTTCTGCAACCCACGCTGTAGGTGAAATGAAGCCACAGTGGATCATGAGTTCCATTAATATTGCTGTTGGCCCTCTGGCTTCCATGTGAAAGTGCTACATGTAATCATGACTTATTTTCTGTGAGTTGGGTTTGCAGCTAGGCAAGGTTAGGGTGTCAGTGACAGGGGCGGACTGACAACTCATGGGGCCCCCTGGCAATAGGGGATCATGGGGCCCCTATGTCCTTGCCCACACTCAAAAAAGCCTAAAAAAAGGTACCAGGATCATTTCATTGGGGCCCCTTCTGACCGCGGGCCCTCGGGCAGTGCCCGAGTGCTCGAATGGTCAGTCCACCCCCTGGTCAGTGATACAGTGGAGGTGGATGTGGGCTTGATTTCCCAGTGGTAGCAGGTTATTTGTTATCTTTACTCATACGTGCTCCTTGTCAATCAGTTATTAATATTTCCATGAACCAACCAGCAGAGCTGCTTAAATTGTGTTTTAGAAAAGTGATCATATATCCAACCTTTTATATTATATAGAGCATTGTTTGGTTATTGTGCTTACTTATTACCTATTGTGCAGCCTGTGCCATTTTACACACAGACCCACAAAACAGGAAAAAATAATAAGAGTGGTTCAAAAGAAGCCTGTGTCTTTAAAAGATGGGTGAAGAGTAAAAGGGGGGAACTGAGGGAAAAAGCAATGACTGTCTACAAATATCAAACACAACCATTTACTATTTTCTTTAATTATCTGTAGGTGCTTTGTATAGTCTGATACACATAAAGGCTGATTTGGTCAAAACTGAAGGAAATAGATGTCTGAAATTTTTTTTTTGCAAATATATGTATTTCTTCATACATGGTAATTCAATTAAAAAAAACTCCAACGGAGACATGGGGCTGTATTTATAAAGATTTATTTATAAAAGTATTTATTTCAAAAAACATGCATAGCAACTTGTCTAGTGGAAGAGCATGTACATTCATTCTGTGCTAGCTGTTTCCTATGATACTTAACACCAACTAGCAGTCAAATATGGTCTTTTTCATTTTAAATCAATAAAAAAACATTCAACTAGCACAGGAAATAGCTTAATAACCTTTACTTTCTTTTCCCCATTCGGACAGAACAAATTAATATGCACTCTCATTTAACGAATAGCTATGTAAATTTTTTAATAAATACACCCCTTTGTGCTATTGGTAGAAGACCTGTGCTCTAGGTGCCTGGGTGTAGCCCTTGAATCATAATTGTATAGAAATTTCTTTTTAGTTTGATGTGATTTTTCATCCAATATATGGATGCAAACTGTGTCATTTAAAATGTGTGTTCTAAACAGTGCACTTCTATTACTTCCTCAGTGGAACTGCTTTTGTAGATTTGCATCCATCCTAATTTTCTAAAGATGGCCATAAACCGATATCATTTTTTGTTCAGCCTGGAGGTTCCACTGCAGCTATTGAAGCTAGCTCCGGCTGCATCTGATTGGATGCAGGCACTGTTCAGTCAACGGTTTTACCCCCAGCACCTTTAATTTTATTAACAAAGGAAGTCTGAGAGAGGGGTGTAGACAGGGTTACCCATTGATCACATTTTGACTGATTCATTAGGAAACAGCCGAAATTCGCTCATTGAGTCCTTTTCTTTACCACTACTGTTCATTTATATAGGCCTTACTCTTGACATGTAAATATTAATTTTTTTTTTAATAAAAAAATCCATACATCAGAATAAAAATAAGGGCAAAAGAAGAGGAAAGAAGGACAGGGGAATTTTCTTCCAAAAGAGGAACAAACCTTCAAATAAAGGACAGTTAAGTTTGCCATACATGTACAGAATGTTTTGTTCAAACATTTTTGTTTTAAGAATGTTTGTTCAATTTTCTAATTGTTAGTGTGGCTGATTCGATGTTTATTTTCAACCAGCACAGTGGCGATAAAATGTGAAAATGTTTCTCAAGTGAACAAATTTCCAACAGCATATGTGGTTTTTATTTAGGAAATATATAAAAGATGTAATGTGCTAGATACAACAAATCATATTTCCCTATTCACCAAATAAATATGTAAAATCTAGTCATCAATTGCATAAAAATAAAAAAAAATGTGCATCAATGCATTAAAAAATAAAATAAATCAATAAATATGTGCAGTGAATCATTTTTTCAGAGATAAATAAATAGTGTGCAATAAAATACATCAAATATAGTTCATAATATAAATTTATTAAAATGTACAATAATCATTCCAACATAGGAGGAGATTTACTAAAATTGGATCACTGAATCTTCTGCAGCTGTGCATGGTAGCCAATTAGCTTTTAACTTCAGTTTGTTTGGTTAAGCTTTGACAAAAAAAACTTAGAAGCTGATTGGTTTCTATGCAGATCTGCACCAGATTTTGCACTCTCCAGTTTTTGGATATCTCCCCACAGTGCCCAGTCCTTCAACAGGTCCTGTGCAGTAATGTTTTAGAATAAAGTCATATAAGCAGAAAAAAATGTGCGCTTAGTGTAAAAAGAGGTAATGCAGCAATCTATGTTCGGGATACAAAGGAATGATAAAAATAATTAATCTAAAAGGTGCGCAAAACTAATCTCTCTGTGGTGATCAATACAAAAATATGTGTGTGAAAAAAAACATTAACTCATATTAAACCATAATGAACAATGTGCATCAAATAAATGGTTGAATGGCAGCCCCAAAACATATACTGTAATTTACTTATGCATAACAAAGAAGTAAACTTCAAAGAGAAATATATAAAGTCTACATGTGAAATCTTGAGAATTATGAAAGTCTACATGTAAGAATCCCAAACCACCTTACAGACAAGTGTGCCAATTCTCTTACCAAGAGCACAGAAATTAGTACAGGATACCACTGTCTCCATCACCTCCATGCAGTACATTTACTGCTGGCAGGCATAACATGCAGGCTGGATCACATGAATGCACGTGATCCAGCCTGCACAGGTTTAGCAGCACCCCCCCATTCCTGCGACCACTGTGTCCATCGGATACAGCAGATTGCTGCTCATGGTATTGGGCCACTTTGTGCGGTCTGGGGATAACGTGATCACTATGTGGTCATGTGATTACAGTGTCAACAAAGCTGTTATGAATAAATGTTATTCATAACAGCTCTGCTTCCTATACCAGTGAGCTGTGATTTCCCACAGCTATCACATGGTACCTGGGCCAGTTACAGCACCCTGTATCATGTGATTAGCTATACTCAATCACAGATCACTAGTAATCAAAGCTGTTATTAACCTCCCTAGAGATTTTCCCGAGTCTGGCTCGGGGTTAAATCTAGCTGTCAAAAGCGGTAACCCCGAGCCAGACTCGGGGTCACCGCAAACTAAGTACCTGGTCCCTGCGATCCGTGTCCCAGGTCCTGAGTCGCATTCAGCCATCCCCTCTGTCCCTCCCCTGTCTCCTTCCCTGCTTCCCTGGTATCTCACGCTGATCAGTGTCAAATCCTACCTGCTGTGCAAATCCCCTACCGGCTACATCTGGAACACAGTTATATACACCGACAAAGGAACAAAATTTGATCCCAAGTACAGCAGCTACGGAATGGCAACATCTTCCGTCCTGTCACTGATTGAGCCTCTGCTAAACCAAGGCTACTCTGTAACAACAGACAATTTCTACACCTCTCCAGAACTTTATGAGGTTCTTCTTCAGCACAAAATGGATGCATATGGGACCGTTCAGGCTAACCGGCGCAACCTGCCCTTGATGTTTTCAAAAAAACAAACTGAAGTTGGGAGAATTAGTTGCCTGGCAGAAAGGCAAAATGATTGCACTGAGATGGCGGGACAAGAAGGATGTGTGCCTAATGAGTACCATTCACAATGCCTCCACAGTGATGGTACAAACAAAAGGTGGGAAAAACATCCAGAAGCCTCAGGTTGTCATTGACTACAACAGCACCATGGGAGGTGTCGACAGAGCTGACCAAGCTATGACATTCTATCCAGCGATGAGAAAGCAGCAGAGGAAATACTACAAAAAGATTTTCCGGCATCTTCTGGAACAGTACTTGTGGAATGCCTATATTCTGTTCTGCAAAAACAGTGACAAGCCTGTGGTTCATGCCGACTTTATCTGGAAAATTGCGGAATCCATTTTCCTCAAGCATCAAACACCATCAGTGTCAGTGGGTAGATCCAGATGATGTGCTGTGGGAGTTGTCAACCCAGAATGCCTGACTGGATGTCATTTTATGGACCACATCCCACCAACTCAAAAAAAGGCAGCACTTACATGGATGTGCGTGGTATGTTGCTCTCGGCGAGATGAGAGTGGAACACTCAGTGGAAACGAGGTTCCACTGTCCTAATTGCGATGTCGGACTTAGTGCAGTCTCGTGTTTTAAAATATAGCACACCTGTGCTGTTTTCTAGAATATGCAGTGTCTATATAATATTGTTTGGATAGAGTTCTGTGTGTTTGATTTGATTACATTATTTAATTTATTATTATATTATTATTTTTTATTATTCTATAATTTATTATTTAATTTATTAAACTTTATTACACCAAGGATGTCTACTAGACTCTTGTTTAAACAGATTTCAGTGAGTTATTCCTAAGAATTACAGGCCTACAATAAAAAAACAACATATTTCCATTGAAAACAATGTACTGCTTTGAGCACAGAAATACTGACATAATCATACCCATAGGGAGGTTAATGTAACCCAAGCATTGTAATTAAAGTGTAAAAAAAAATAAAAAATCCCTCCCCGAGTAGTACAATGTTACTTTGGTGACATAAAACTAATCTGATGAAAGTATGTAAAAAAAAAATAGTGAAAACATTTTTTAAAAAAGGTTAGGGGAAAAAAAAATGTGATTAAAATTGTTTATTTTACATACTGTCACCAGTTAGTGTCCCTGATCACTGCCACACCAGTCATATGATGACACTGTACTGCAATGTTTGTGACAAAAAATTACAACTTCAAAACACCTTTGCCATGCCTCTTGCTAAATACCTTGGACTGTCTACTTTCCAAGAAGGGGTGATATTTGGTGATATTGGGGGATATTTGTACTGTCCTGGCATTTTAAGGGCCTCAAGAAATGAGATAGGCTGTCAGCGTTCATCAGGATTAATCAATCTTCAAATATACTGAATATACAATAGTTTGCAGACACTAAAACCTTTACACAAACCAATCAATATACACTTATTGGGATTTTTTGTTTACCAAAGACATGAAACAGAATACATTTTGGCCTAAATTTATTGTGAAATTAGGCTTTTTTGATTTGTTTTTTTATTAGATATGTTTTAAAACAGAAAGTAGAAAATATTATTTTTTTTTCAAAGTGTTTGGGCTTTTGTTGTTTATATAATAAAAATAAAAAACTCAGTTGTGATCAAATACCACCAGAAAAAAGCTCAATTTGTGTGAAAAGAATTATATAAACTTCATTTGCGAACAGCGTTGCATGAGAGTAGTGCAAAATAACAAAAAATGGCCTGGTCATGAAGGGGGTAAAACCTTCTGGAGCTTAAGTCATTAAAAGTAGATATACTCACAGAAGTTACGACACAGGCAAAACACACCAGGGATCAACAACGAGTGTACAACATCATATGCCACTGGTCTTACCCAGTGGCGTATTTACCGTGAGGCAAACAAGGCTTTGCCTAGGGTGGCAATTTTCAGGGGAGCAGCGCCCCCCCCAGACGAAGTGGCAGAGATGGGAGCCTGGTGAAGGGGCTGGAGAGTGCAATCATGGCAGGACGCTTCTTTTGCAGGTTAGCGGCTGTAATTGGGTATTAGCGACAGTGCCGCGGGGGATGGCATTTGATCTGATGTGTGCTAGTGGTGGTGGCAGGGGTAGAGTGGTGGTCCTGGTCGGTGTCGGTCAGTGTCAGTGATGGAGCTAAAGGAGGAGGAGGCCAGGGTGGGTCTCCGCTCTGGTGGCCTCCATATACCAGGAGATGGAGAAGCTGATCTATGACGGGAGGGGAGGCAGTGCAGGAGTCGATGCTGCTGGTGGTGACCATGTTGGAGAGCCTAGAGGTTGCCTATATGGAGAGACACGAGCAGCTCATCACACAGTATGAGCAGGAGGAGCTGAGCAAGCATGCCCAGGAGGTGCCGATCTATAATACACCTCCCCCACTACTTAACGATTAAGTAGTGTGTGTGTGTGAGGTGTATTATAGCTCTTTATGTAGTTGAGGGAGGTGTATTGTAGGTCAGGGGTTAAATATTAACCCTTGACCTACATTTCCTCCAACTACATACAGATCCATAATACAGCTCCCCCACCTCAATCTACAGTACACCTCCCCCAGTACCCATCTACAGTACATATCCCCCATATCACCCAGTATGAGCAGTACACCTACAGTACACCCCTACCTACCAATCTACAATACACATCCCTCAGTACCGACTACAAAATAACTCCAGATCTACAGAACACCCCCAACCTACCAATCTACTGTACACCTACCTACCTACAATGCACATCCTGATCTAAAATACACCTCCCCACCTACCAATCAACATCGACCACTACATGCCTACAATACATCTCCCAATCTACAGTTCACCTCCACCAATTGATCTATAATACACCTCTCGATGTACAATACATCTCCCCAATGGCATATTTACTGCAAGGCAAATGCTTTGTATGACTTACTGTAAATACACTGTTGAGGAGGTGTATTGTACAACGGGAGGCATATTATATGCATTTGCCTTGGATGGTGCTGCCCCCCGAAAGAAATGGTAGGAATGGGGACCTGGTGAGGAGGCTGCACACTGCTGGAGAGTGCAGGAAGGGCTGGTTGCTTTTTGTGCAGGTTAGTTTTGTTAAGCGGGTGTTGGCAGCAGTGACGGGTGATCGGGTGGTGGTAGTGGTGGAGGGTGGTGGCGCTCGGGGGGGGATCGCCCAGTTCTTGTGTTGCCTAGGACAGCACAAGAACTGAATACACCACTGGCCTCACCCTATGCACATGGTGCTATGGACATCTTCAGGGGATAAAAAAAAGAAAGAATAAATTCATATTATTTAAAAAAAGTGTATTGCACACACTCAGATGTGATATCTTCCTAAATCACAGAGGTCTTCTTAGTGCGTGTTCTTTCCGAAATGAAATCTTCACAAGAGAACCTTCCACCAATCACACTAAATTACTCAGAATTTATTCAGATAAGTCCATTCACTCCAAAATCTAAAGTTCAAAGTAAATGTTTTTTGAAGTACTTTCAAACGAGATCCGTCAAGTCACGGAATGTACTTTTGCTTTTTGTATAAATCACGGTATGAACGCTCATTCAAAAATCTATTAGTGGCCAGCTTTATTAACTATTAACTCACTGTTCTAGCAGTGTTTTCTGTGCTGGCAATGATGGGTGCAGGGGATAAGAGGAGGAAAGCTGAACTTTTTTTTTTATTGAAAAGTGTCAGAGATCCAGTATCAGCATAATAATATGTGACTTTGCTGTTTTGTGTCTCCTCTCCGGAGGGGGGTTTGGACAAAGCTTAGAGGCTTCCTGGTCTAAGCTCTTTTTGGGTCACATGCTTCTTTTGAGATTTCATCTGAAGAGGTCCCAAACAACAATAGGTTCTGCTGTCTGTGAACTGGGGTAATCCTGTGCTTTAGCCAGAACAATGAGTGGAATTTCAGTGCGGCATGGCTGTTTGCTTAACACAGATGTAGTTGGTACAGACTGGACTTGCAAGTGTCAAAGAGTCATTGTGGGAAAGTGTATATTACTGCAACTGAATCAACAAACATTGTTTTATGCAAGAATGCTGAACTTGTAACATTACAGAGCACTGCATACATACATACATTGTCCATTTGCAAATGTATAGTCATAACAAAGCATGCACCTATAAACCAGCTCATTATTTTAGATGGCTATTTATTATAACAAGATCCTTTAAAAAAAAACACATTTATAGTGTTCTATATTTTTTATGCAGCATGGGATCTGAGTTAAGCAAAAAAAAAAAAAATTGAAGATCCCAATCAGATAAAGCTTGCATAGCCGTTCCACAAATGGGGTATGAAAGTCACAGATGATGCATTTCATAGTGGAAGAGATTCCATCCTTTTATTTACTGCAAAGATACATGACGTTTCAGGGAATTATTGTCACTTCATCAGATGTTACAGTGAGATCAAAGACTGAATAGAGCAGTTAACAAATCACTCAGCAATACAACTGAAAACAGATGTGAAATAAACAGACTGAGCATGCTTATTCATTTCCTATGTTTTTCAAAAAGAATGCATTCTGCTATTTTACTGCATCAAAGGGAATCTATAAAGTTTTTTCAATTAGCACAAACTTTGAGAAAGTCATTCCTCTCTAGTTCTTGTTCAACTCAAATATTAGGGCCCTCTTTGTGCATGCATATGTTACTGTCTTTGGGTGCCATTCATTTTCAATGGCACCCAGGGGTGGACTGACCATTTGTAAACTCGGGCACTGCCCGAGGGCCCGGGATCAGTAGGGGGCCCCATGAGATGCCACTGGTACTTTTTTCATAGGCTTTTTTGAGTTTGGGCAAGGACAGAGGGGCCCCATGATCCCTATTGCCCGGGGGCCCCATGAGTTGTCAGTCTGCCCCTGATGGCACCCCAGTGCATTAAAGCAAAGTACATGCACTGCAGTAAGGCCTAGTTCACATTGGCATTGAACGTGGGCATTTGAGGGGCGTTTTTTACACTCCTTAAATGCTTATGCAAATGATACTATGGGCAGCACACAGCGCTGTTCACATTATCAAAACATAAAGCATTAGCTTTGATTTGCTTTAAAATCAAAGCCTCCTGTCCAGGGGCGGACTGACCATTTGGAAACTCGGGCACTGCCCAAGGGCCCCGGGTCAGTAGGGGGCCCCATGAGATGCCCCTGGTACCTTTTTCATAGGCTTTTTTGAGTTTGGGCAAGGACAGAGGGGCCCCATGATCCCCTATTGCCCGGGGGCCCCATGAGTTGTCAGTCCGTTCCTGCTCATGTTGAGTTTAGAGGATTGTGAAGCCTTTCAACGCCTCCCATCCAAGTCTATGGTGATGCTCCGCAAATGCACTGGTAGGTGTTTGCAGTGCGGTTGGGGCGCATTAATAACATTACAATTTGTTATAAGCATTTGTGGTGCTGTTTTAATGCTTGTAAAATGCGTCAAAAATGTACATAGGGTGTTTGGGGAGCAT